AGCATCTTCTTACGTCTTTTTCCTCGTCTTCTGGTCGCATACATGGTATCTCTGTTTTTGGAAAGAGACTATCCAGGAAAAGTGATAATGTGGTAGTTTTTCCATTTGCTTTCCACATCGCAGTACAGCAGCCGTTCAAACCACTCTGGTCACGCCTGTTGCTGTACGAACTTGAACCATCTCGAGCATCATTTGCTCTGTGCTTCAAGTCGCTGCTGATGACGCTGCTTCCGGCATCAGTTTTTGGTTTTTGGTGTCTCTCTTCGTCTGATGCCTACCCTTTGACCTGTTCAGCAAGGGAGGCTACGCTACCGCTGGTATAGCTCTCAGGGTCCTTGGCACGAAGATAAGGTGGAGACACCAACGAGGGGGAAAGGAATTTTAGGTACGTTAAAAAGTATAAGGAGCGGTTAGTCGCTGGCTTCCCACCGCGATGGCCCCGGTTCGATCCCGGGTCTGGTCAAGTGGGATTTGTGGTGGACAAAGTGGCGCTGGGGCTGGTTTTCTCCGAGTACTTCGGTTTCCCCTGCCAATCTTCATTCCACCAAATTCTACATCATCACAATCACTTGGGGCAGGTATAATAGGCCAATCAGTGGCCGCCGTGCCGAGTGGACCCAGCTCGACTCCACCCCCCACTAAACGAATAAGAAACTGTTACATTAGGACCATCTTCAAAGCTAAAGACACACTTAGGAGTTCCTTCATGAGAACCGAACCGGGAAGAGATCAGCAACAGACGGTGAATTACGCCCATAGAATTTCCTGTTAATGTGGCAGAAGCTAGCTTGTCAAAACGGGCAGACCGCCAGCCGTGCGGCTTCTCGAACGTAAGCACAATCTCAAACAGGGTCTTACAGAAAAAAATTAAACTTGACTCAACATGCCTATGAAAAGTGTCACAGAGTATATTTGGATGAAGCCAGGGTTTTGGAAACTGGAAGTAACAGCAGGCGTGTGAAATCGGACAACACGGCGTGTTTATTCAACACAATCAGCCAGTCTAGTGTGCTGTTTCTCCCACTGGATCCTCCTTATGAGGAATGGAGTTAGCAATTCATAGGGAAGTTTGGTACGATCTGACAAACTCTTCGTAAGTTTCTATATGATTTCCGTTTCCGGGTTCAATTTGCAGAGAAGGCCGCAGCATTAGACACGTACTGTACATACGGCCTCCGTGTCTGTACTTGGCTGCTACTTTTATTTCACGCCTTTATTTTTCACGTGCTGTATGAACCCAACAACAGATCTGGTAGTCGCTTTACATGAACACTGTCAAGTTACAACTTCACGATACATTTCCGGGCAATATGTTATGCGCAGCAAAACTTATCGCCACGAACACTCTATCAGATATATAGAAGAATGACATGTTTACCAGATCATTTTGTGGGAGTTGCAAATGCAGAGGTGCTCAGTTCAGGACACGTTGAAAATAGATGGTGCCCAGACACGAGATGCGGGTGATAGTTCGTGGCCAAAGTGCCGATTTTCTGGCAGACACTCTTCAGTACTATATATGTCCGTCTGTGTCTTTAAGTTATTCGTTTCAGGCACCCACTAGCCATGTTAACTAAACTTGCCGCATTCGAAAAATTGGCCAATTGGAATCCTTGATTTTTTCATAAATAGAATATACAATTTTTCCTATAAAATTATTGACAACGGTACAATTTTTCAAGACACGACTACGCATTACAAAAGAAATAATTCGATACTTGTGTCTAAAGAGCATTCTGTAATTAAATTAATTCAAAATTGGATTTGCATATGTGTGTCACACGTGTACATTGTGAGAGGCGCGGGTCGCTCCTTCTGCAGAAATTTTTGTTCCTTAAAGACAAATGGAACTATCACCTGATTATGAAGCATACGAGACCACATTAATTGCATCTTACAGTACCATGACGATTAACTTCTGACCATAAACGTAAACACAGCAACTGGCACTTCTGCCAACGTGAAATTACAATGCCTTCAATCCAAATCATTCTTAAATCCCACACGTTCATTTCTCCGTTAACAATGGGAACTGTACCTGTGTTTGTATGACATTTTTGGCTGGCAGTGACGTCACGTACGAAGCTGCAGTAAGTTGAGAATATTCCTGTATATGCCACTTTTTTTAAATTCGCTTAGTGGGGGGTGGAGTCCAGCTGCGTTCACTCGGCACGACGGCCACTGATTGGCCTATTGTACCTGCCCCGGGTGATTATGATGCAGAATTTGGTGGAATAAAGATTGGCAGGGGAAAAGGAAGTATAGTCGGAGAAAACCCGTCCCAGTCCCACCTGACCAGACCCGGGATCGAACACGGGCTGCCGCGGTAGGAAGCCAGCGACTAACCGCTTGAGCTATGGCGCGGCCTATATGCCACATTATTTCATGGAAAACGCTTATGAGACATTCCGATTTTCCGTTACTTGTCATTAACTAAAATGAATGGCGAAAGTGAAAGATGGTCAGACACAACAGAAAATCGGACGGCTTATCTCGTAGTGGACAGAAAGTACGTAACCGCATTAGACTTTTCTGCAATTGAAGTAGAGTTTATACGAGCTGGGGTTAGGATTTCTACAGTTGCCAAAGATCCGCTGACCACAAAATTTAAAATAACCGTACAGACTATACAACTTGCTTTTAACCACGCTAACAGCAAAACAGTCCTATCGCTTCCATAATCACAGAGCTCCTGATGCGGGGATATTTCTACAAGTGCAAAGAAAACTGCGGATGTTTTACTGTGTATGAATGTTCCTTATGTAGTGTTGGAGAAGGATGGAGAAAATCAGTTGGACCAATTATGTGAGAAATGAAGAAGTGTTAATTAGAGTCAGTGAGCAGAGGAATATCCTACACGAAATAAGAAAACGGAAGGCTAATTGGATTGGTCACGTTTTACGCAGAAACTTCCTTCTAAAAGAAGTTATCGAAGGAAAGATAGATGGGCGGATAGAAGTGACAAGAAGACAAGGAAGAAGACGTAAGAAGATGCTGGATGACCTTGGGGACAGAAGAGGATACTGTCATTTGAAGGAGAAAGCTCTAGATCGCATTAAGTGGAGGAATTGTTTTGGAAGAGACTGCGGACCTGTCGTCTGACAGATTACTGATGATGATGATGATGATGATGTTCGTTCAAAATTACAGACGAAGCGTGAAATAGCACAAAGATAAAATTCCTATTCAAGTACCAACGACTCTGTATATGAACAGTGAATTTCGGAAATAAAAATTATTTGCTCTTGACACGCAATCATCACTTCACCGAATTATTGAATGCTTCTGTCTCCTATGATTTAACGTCTTACAGTACGATGTAAAATAACAGACGTTTCAGAGAAGCTACCGTCTCGGAAACGTAGGCTGACTTTCACTAGGCTACACGGTGTCACATCCAGAAAGCACGACTCTCACCGCTGTGAGACTTATCTCTTGTTACTGTTATACGGAACATATATTTTTACCCTTTTGCGCTACAGCCCCAGTTTGGGCCTTGGGCTACCTGCATGAAACTCTCCGTTTCACTTAGATCTTAGACATTCGGTAGGACCCCTTTGGAGGGTGATCAGCTCGTCGCAAGGCCTCTACGTGTACACAAACACAGGAAAACGCGCGCACACACATCCTTGCCCTGAGTGGGATTCGAATCCACGATCCCAGCTTAGCGAAGACAGTGAATATCTTAGGCCGCTCTGTTACCGTGACCGGATACGGAACACAGAGCCATCTATAAGGAGACATTACTAACTTTATGCATTACTACAAGAAATCGTCCCCTATAGCTGTTATGATACAGACAACTTGGAAAGTATTGAATGAGATCAGAATGTATATGACGCTTACAATTCAGCACAAATAAATTAAGTTCCCCAACACTATATTGTTACTACCGAACACGGCGGTCTAGTGGACAGCACTTCATCCTCGAATTTTGGAGATACCAGCTTCAAATTTCGGTCTGAAGATTAGACACTGCCACGTGTATGCATGACTAAAGACGGGGTTCCGAATGATAATTGGATTTATTGCCGTAACAACAATTAATTACAACACTGTTACTCACTTTCACACTAAACAAAGCACTCTACGCTACTCTCTTCAGTCTATCTGCACTAGTCTTCACGGATTTATAACACAGGAACTATAAAAGTCTCCCTAAATCACATACTCCCAATACCACTGCACTACAGCACACATAAAGTCTTCAAATCACATGTTAAATTTTTACAGGCTGTCTTCTTGTACACATCTGAACACCTCGAGCCTACTGCTTGCTTGTTTCCTTACGTGCATCTGCCGCTGCTACTACTCATATTTGCTCTGAACCCTACGCGGAACGGACATGAATCACAGGAAACACATATCACGTGATCGCTATCCAGCCAGTCTATCGGCGCAAGTTGCACGGACATACAACAAACACATATTACGTGACCGCTATCTATTATGTGACGTCACCGCGGACACGGAAAACATAGCTTCCTCTATTATTGCGTGTTGGACCGTTACAATATATTGGGCTCTTCGCGGTTTCATTCAGTCTGTTCGGACAAATTATGGAACAGCGGCACTCCAAATTTAGTCACAGACCCTCCCCCCCCTCATTTCCAATTCATCGTCATAACATTCGATGCTACAAAACCGGAGCTACTGAAAATGTCGTAAAATAAATAACAAATAAATATATAAACATTAATTTCTTTTTATTTCACGAAACGCAGTGTACATGAAACCAAACCTACTCGTCTCTTAAGATGTGAAACATTACTATGTAGGTCAATGTGATGCTTCTGAACCTTAAATGGAAAGCCTTACATTTAAATACCCTCAAAGCGAAAGAAGTGCCCACTTAAACATCAAACAGATTTTCTCTTTTAGCCGTGATTCCTGATGAGCATGAAGCGCAGAATTCTCAGGTGCTCTAAAAAGATAAAATCTGCAATATACTAATAAAGCGGCCCGCTGCATTGGGCGGCCAAACTTGCATCTCTTCTTACCTTTATCGTCTTGTTCTGTAATCTGAGGCCGTTCAGGGTGTTGATAGCTTTCTCTGCGTCCTCTGGTCGGTGGTAATTCACGAACCCGTACCCCAGGCTTTGACCTGAAAGCACGCAACAAATTCCAGTATTTGTATTATATTCGACTTACTTACTCACGGAGCTGAGCCCTTCTTGAGAAGCCGCCAATTCTGCAGCTACTCAAGAATTTCCCCGCATTTTAAGGGACCTGCAGGTTCATTACCGTGTTCACAAGAGCCCACCACTGGTCCCTACCCTGAGCCAGACCAATCCAATCCATGCCATATCTCTAAGATCAATCTTCATATTGTGCACACATCTACGCCTTGGTCTTCCCAGTGGTCTCTTTCCTTCTGGCTTTCCCACCAATTATATGCATTCCTCTTTCCGCCATTCGTGCTACGTGCCCTGCCCACCTCATCCTCCTTGACTTAATCATTCTAATTACATTTGAAGAAGAGTACAATAAAGCTCATCATTATGTAGTTTTCTCAAACCTCGTGTCACTTCATCCCTCTTCGGTCGAAATATTCTCAACACCCTGTTCTCAAACACCCTCAGTCTATGTAAGTTTTGAGGTTTTCACGGCGATGACAATGAAGAGAGTCGTCTTCTGGGTTTAGGCACCGTGTATTCTTCGTGTTGGCCGACGTTTCGGAGGAACGTAGCGCCTCCATCTTCAGAGCAGTTGAATGGCTTGGAATGCGGAGAGCAGTAGCTGTGGTGATAGGATGTGGAAGGTGGAAGAATACACGGTGCCTAAACCCAGAAGACGACTCTCTTCACCGTCAGTCTATGTTCCTCCCTTAATGTCAGATAGTTCTATTCGAGAAAACGAATAATACAAAGTAATCGGTGCTCAAGTGTCAATTATCGGTAAAAATAAAGTCTTTGTTGATAAAATGTTATGCTCATTTTGTCAACCAACTAAATTACGTTCGCTGCCAAAGATTACTTAGTGCGTGACAAAATTGGGCAGGATCTATACGAGAAACGAGAAAACACCAAAGAAAACTGAACAAAATGATAAATTTTCTATTAAGAATTCCGCAGGAGTAGCTTGTTAATACAAAACCGGAGCACATAATCGACTACACAACTCAATAACAAATTAATCTCTGAAAACTTACTTAATATCATATCGATTCGTTGTAAATAATGAAATACCTCTACTGCCAATATCATCACTGCACCAAAGATTCTTCTGAAAGTCTACGGAGTAATATGTATCGGAGAATTCAACTAATATACATAAGTAATATATAGAACTTTACGAATGCACTAATAAACTTAATTTAATAGAGACATGCTTAATATTTCGAATAATTTACAAATATTTTTGGTGTCTCTTCCAGTCCATTCAGAGCCCTGACCTCTTATTCCGTTCCGTAATAATTTTTACAGACGGTAGGACTCCTTGGACGGGGCATCAGCCCGTCGCAAAGCCTCTACCTACACACAGGGCAACACACGCGCTAAATAAACGAATACATTAAACATCCATGACTTGAGTGGGATTCGAACCCATCATCTCGGCTTTCGAGCAAGCGGAGATAGTCCGCTCGGTTACCGTGACCATCAAGGTACGTACAAATTGGTGGGTGTCATTCGTGTGGTGAAATGTTCGGCAAATGCAAACCTGTATAGAGAAACCGTGACAATCAGTACAAAGCAGTGTTCTATGAATGTGGTGTACTGCGTAGGGAAAAAGATCCGCGGGGGTTGGTCACAGCATCTGTTAAAACTAAAACACACGTCTCGGGGCCAAGCAAATTTAAATATGGCCGTATACATATATGCGCGCGCGCACGCACGCACATATATATATATATACTGTCATGTATTTAATGATTATACACGGGGTTTCTGATTAGTAACGAAGACTTAAAATTCACAACTGCCAGTCGTTAATTCGTGCACTTTCCAATTCACTATCATAAGCATTAAATCTTCTCAGTTTGCCGTTGTTAGTTTATGGCTCATAAGAATGTAAATTCCTAAACTCCTGTCCTCGCTGGCTGACGACTGTCTCGTATCTAACCCATTCCTTCAGTTCACATTCTCGACTGGCTGAAGGGACAAAGCCAAATTTACATTACGACTGATGCGCAGTGGGCCAGTCAGTCGCTGTTATTGCGTGGTTGTTACGGCGGAAATTTGTTTATCGTGTCGTTTCCTAGCAATTGACGTTTCTTCTGAGTCTTTTCTTCCCGGCTTTCATCCGTCATGTCACAATAGTTGAGGAATACAGTAAGAAATTTCAAACAAAATGGTGTGGTTAGCATTCTGAGTAGCGTAAGTTACAAACGGCTTTTATACACACAGAGAAGCGTAGTGGGGCTGAACTTCCGAAGCTGCACGTTGACTGCTCAGTGTTTCGAAAATTCTTAGTAATTGGTAGTAACAATAAGTTTTATTCATTATTTATGAACTACTGCAGAAGGTCTGTATCAAATTACATATGTATTACTATAAGTTAGAGTTATGCACAAAGCAACTTAATGTACGGCCTTTGTTTGGTGATGAACCAGCTGGTCAATAAAGAAACTGTCTTATAGAACCCCAGGGTTCATCACTGTTTTAAGAGAAGCTCAAAATCGGACGTTGTAATAATCCAGTTGAATCATATTTACATTTTCACACAATGTTTTAGGACAAATTTTAATATATTTTTCCTATTTATTCCTAGGTATCTTAAAAGATCTCCTTCCTTGAGATCTTCGGAAAAAATTTTGTATTCATTTCTTATTTTTTTATTTCGGGTTCTCAAATAAATGAGATTTATTTATACCGCCACCTGAACCACTTCTGAATCTCAGACTTCAATAAGAGTAAGGCCGTGTGTCTCTGTAACTTCCAGTCCATATGAATCATCTAACAGCCGCTGAATTCAATAATTAATGTATTCACTAAATCCCCTTCGGACAGCATTTTCCCCTCTTCTGAAACAAAGAGGGGTTGCACGGCATATTTTACAGTCGTCCCCTTCGTGAACCACAGACAAGGCCTAAGGGGAAAGAATGCTGAGAAAGGGGGGCGACAGCCACACAATTTGAAGGAGTTTCTAGCTGTCAGTTGGAAAGCAGCTTTAAAAACTGTACATCAGTATCTACCACGCATCCCAGCAATACGTAGTCAGTTGCATATATGCGTTACTATAGCTAAAACTCTTGCTTTTTGAGCATTTACAATACTGTATAACAAGGACCATTACAAAAGAAAACAAACTCAGTGGTTTTAGCCCGCAAGCGAACTATACCGACCGAGCGACCGCCGCTTGTCGGCGAAGTTAGTGCCAAATTTAGCGGATAGAGGGTGTCGCGTGATCAGCGCAACGAAACCCCACGGCCGTTAATTTCGGTTTTCTAGACAAGGGCCATTACTTCCTATAAATTATATATTATGTAGTAATGAGTTAAAATACTGGTATTTAAAAGAAAATGCACTGACCTATTACACGATTCTGAATATTAATAAAGATATGCTCTATGCATTGGACAGCCGCTGGAGCATTGCCTCATTAACTAAATAACTCCACGGACTGTGGTTATCTTTGAGAAGCCGCAAGTCGCTCAGCTGCTCAAGAATTTCCCAATAATTTTTTGGTAACGGAAGGTCCACTACGTGTTCACAAGAGATCTCCACTGGTCTCTATCTTCAGCCAGATGAATCTATCTATACCACCCCATCACATTTCCCGAGATCCATTAATATTATGAGAATATAAGTAATGAAGTATTTACTGATAAGCTATTTCTAAGAATGCACTCAGTATGACAATGCGAATGCTAAGGACATACGGAAGGCTATTGTCTTAAGGGACGATTATAAGTCATCTAAAAGAAGGGAAAATAAACTGAAAAGAGGAAAATTTAGCCTAATCCATGCCGCGTCTTATTTTGCATACTAAAAGAATTTTGTGTCTTCGCTCGTTTGGAAACCGGGATCGTGGGTTCGAATCCCACTCAGGGCATGGATGTTAAGTTTGTGTGTGTGCGTTTTTCTGTTTTTGTGTACAGGTAGAGGCCTTGCGACGAGCTGATCACCCGCCACAGGAGTCCTACCGAATGTGTAAGATCTAGGAAAACCGAAGTGAACGGAGAAGTTCATGGAGGTAGGCCTAGGCCCACTGGGGCTGTAGTGCCAAGGAAAAAAGAAAATAATTTTGTATATTAAGTAATTCGAGCAACATTCACAGCATGCAAGACGAATACACTCCAAATAAAATTATGTGAATAAAGTATTTAAAAAAGCATTTGTGCCGACATTTATCATTATTGGCGACTACATTTTGAAGAAAGTAGTAATTAAATAAAGTAAATTAAGTAAATAATCTGTAACATTAAGTAAAGAAGCCAGTGTCATCTGCTAAGGTGAGGGCACAACCCACCACACAACAGTGGAGTCTAAATACCTAACGCCGTGAAGACATCGAATCTGATACACATCAAGTAAAACTGAGTGAGAGATAGTGATAACAGTTACTCGTAATCTGTTTTCTTGATGAAAAATGGTCTATAAAGGGAACGTCATATTGTTACCTTATTTACGTTCAATTTTACCTCAGTTTAATGTACGTACACTGACAGAAATATAATATTAATTAATTCCTTCCTCTTGTTCAGAAGTTTAAAGTTAACTATTTTTACACTAGGTGTCGTGGTCTTTTTTTTTCGCTTAGTGGGGGGTGAAGTCCAACTGGGCCCACTCGGCACGGCGGCCACTGCTAGGCCTATTGTAGCCTGCCCCTGGTGATTATGATGATGGAGCAATTGGTGGAATGAAGATTGGCAGGGGAAACCGAAGTACTCGGAGAAAACCCGCTCCGGCACCACTTTGTCCACCACAAATCCCATTTAACCAGACCCGAGATCGAAGAACCCAGGCCGCCGCGGTGGGAAGCGACTAACCGCTTGAGCCATGGCGCGGTCTTCGATACAGCTAAGTGGGAACTTCTTAAAAAAAAAACAGAATTGCATACACGGAACCTTTCGATTTAGTACAGAATAGGCAAGGATACAAGCTGATTCTTATTTGCAGTTTGAAAAAAAATTGTGGTCAAATAGACGATCGAACCAAGGAA